GTAAGATTATTAATTTATAGAAATATTATATTATTTAAAATTATAAATTGTAATACATTTAATATATAACAACATGAATAACTGTTTATTTACACTATAATTTTTTATTATAGTATATTTTTTATTATCTATTATTTTTTTTATTATAGCGGTTATTTTTATAAGTTAGAGTTAAATGCTTATTTATATTTTTAATAAAATTATAAATTAGGATTATTAACTAATATTTTTTAAATTACAATTTTAAAAGTATTATATTCATTACATGTATAACATTCATTTACATTATAATCATATTATCACTATATATATATTACATCTTGATTTTATGATATTATGATCTTTTTATTTTATAAGTTATATCGAATAACTTTAAAAATAACAGTGTTTTTCTGTAATATTTTCTAAACTATTATTTCTTTTATATTATATATTATATTATATAATATGATATATATTATAATTAATTTTTATTGAAGAATATAATTATATTTATGAATTATTAAAATATTGTTAAAAATCTGAAAAACACTGTATACAAGACATTGTGCATGATTAATAATTATCATTAAATAAATTTTTAATAATTATATTAAAATTATTTATCATAATTTTTCACAAATAATTGATTGTAAATTTTATATTGATTGTAAATCAATTTATTTATAAAATCTATCTTTTTCTAAAGAGCATCATTTGTATTGTATTATTTAAATATTTTTCATTTAATTTTATAATTCACTATAATAAAAATATTATAATTAAATTTTGTCTAAAATAGTATTTTGTTAATATGTTTTACAGGTATATTGCGGTACAAAGTGGACTTTCAGAGTATGCAGTTGGAAGATGTTGAAGTTGATACTTTTGATCTGGATGATTATTAAATCTGTGACTCAACAGACAGTTATTTTAGCTTCAGAGGAAAACATAATTATATGTTCTCCCTTGCATCATATTTCAAGAGAGGCACATAGAAGGACATGTTTATAAAATTTATTATGATGCAACACACACATCATGAAATTATTCATTAGATTTCATTCAAGCAATTCATAGTCGATACACAAAGGTGAAAAGCACAAGACGTGACGCGCCGATAATCCATGTCCATAATGAAAAAAAGGCAACTCGAAGACTGTGACACTTAATTAAGCCAGCTTGATACCTGCCTATCTCACACCACATTATCTTGTATTACAGTTACATTCTTTAATTATTCACATGGATTTATTTAAATAATTACACGCGTTACAGTGCTGAATATGTTTGTACAGTACACGGTCGGAGATATATCATAATTTTGTAACAAATTGATGTTATCATCTCGTCGTAAATTTTACAATTGAGAAGAAGAAAAAACATAAAAAGATACTCAAATAGCATGAGGATGAATGTAGCGTTATTTTTGTTCAGATACAATCATGGATAAGCTGTAATAAACTGATTATCATGAACATGAAGTTGCGTATCGTGTATTCTATACCGATTACTAAATTCATATGAATAATGAAGAGTTCTGTATATAGACTTAAATTTTTAATGGCACTGTTGCCTTAGACATAAGTTAAGATCGCGTAATATCCCAGGAAAATAAAATCTTTCCGTCTCATCGAGTGATACACATATAAACATATAAGAAATAATTTTTCGTATCTACATTAACTTTGCTGGCTCTCGACTCTTATATTTTGTACACTCATAATTGTATATAACAAATTCTCCGCAAGTGTATCGAGATATATCTTTTCGATTGTTACAACGGTGCACTCTATTAGTAAAGAAGTATCTTCTGCAATATTTAAGTGGCAGTTATTGAAAATATTACAAAATTTATTTTAACATTGTTAATTTAAATTGCTTATTCATATGATGCCTTTGTAATAAATAATAATATGTATGTATAAATGTGAGAAGAATGAAACGTGCAATTTTGGTGAAGTATCTTTTATGAAATATCGCTGTATAGTAAAGAAAGATTTGCAAATATTGTGAATCTTTTGATGAAAATAATGTATTGTTAATTAATAGTATAATTAGATTATTTATACTATTATAACGTATGTGATGCAGGGATAAAGCTTTATGAAAACTTCATCAAAATAGAACGTTCAACAAAAATGACCTGGCTTATGGTATGTGCACAACGAATTCTAAACATGATGGTTTAAAAGTATTGTATCTGTGTATTGTCTTCAAGGCAGCGAAATGTTGAATGTCAGCTTAATGTTTCTTTAAATTTTTATATGTAAACATTCTTTCAATAGGAATCTAGATAATTATTTATTACTATATCGGTGCGATTATTTCTTCTGTTTAGCAGAAGATTATTTTAAGTATACAAGATTTAGTTCTATAATAATTCGGTAAATGTCTGAAAGAGATTAGGGAAAATCTGCGTAATATTAAATAATCTTTGGTTCTTTTTTTTTTTTTTTTTTTTTTTTTTTTTTTTTTTTTTTTTTTTTTTTTTTTTTTTTTGTTTTTTGATTTTTATGTAAGGTAAGAGAAAATGAGTATGCAAAAGAATGCGCATAAAAAAAAGATTAGACGTCGTTCGTACATTTCATTTAAACCAATCAATGACGTACTTAGATTATGGCTTGCCTATGATCTCTTCCATAAGCATAGTTGTATAATCTGCTAACAGATTTATAATTTTTGGCAATCTTATTCTCCTGTATTGCTACAAAATATTTTTGTTCCTTCAAATGTTACATTTATCTAGCAAGGCAATACAAAGATGTAATCGTTATAAGTTTTGCTTAATCAAATTTTTCAGAATATGAACTTATTATTACCTCATATTTTATATATATTGTACGCATAAAGTACATTTGTGCTATGTCCTAAAAATTTTAACTCATCTTTGAAATGAATTATGAATGGTAAAAATATGAATTTTAAAATTACGTAAAAAATTGTTGGCCGTACCATGATACACGTTCTATTAACCCCAGAAAGACCGAGGCTCGAACCATGTAAAAAACTAATGAGAGATATACTAAGTTCACCTAAGTTTTAAAAGCAGATATTTTAATAGGATGAGTAATTTTGGATTATGCGGAATATGACATATATATTAATATTTTGTATGAGATTTTTCATTAATAATTTATTTAACCCAATCGCGATACATCAGAATTTAATCCTTCACAAGTTTCGTATATTATTACACTATTTGAATGTTTTTTACATATATGTCGTTTACAATTAGTACAATATTGCTTTGCCTTGGATAAGTTATATTTTATTCTTTTATTTCGTTTCCGATACATTTGTAGCAACATCCTTTTCCTGTTGGTTTTTTTTGTTTTATTTTTTTTCTTTTTGCAGTTAGCTCCTTTATTTTTTCTATATTATTTATTGTATGCTTTTGCAATCTTGTTACATTAGGATCCCTGTCTAATTGCTTTTGAATCAATTCATTGAATAATTCTTGTAAGAAAATCTTTCGTATGTTCATTTTTATTACTCTAATTTAGATTTGCTATTATAAATAAGGAATATGCATTTAGAGCAGCAATATTTAATAATGTATAAAACAGAGAATTCATCTCCGATTTTCACGTTTATATGAATATATTCTTGCCATTTGGTTTATGACAAATTCCTCTTCGTTGCAGTGTAAAATATATTGGTATCTGTTTTTCTATCAATATATCTAATTATCGATTTTTCTATGCGAATCTTTAAACGATAATAAATAAATTTTTAGAAATTTTTTGAATGAAAAAAAAAAACATTTTTCAAATTTTGTAAATAGTGGACTCGAGGAAGGCCTTTCCCCTTCCTCCCCCGGTCTTTCTAGGATTAATAATATTTTGTGAAGTGATAAAGAGGGATATTGAAATAATGATAAAATAATAGTTTTCAATATTTAAATAATATCTATTAAGATGAAAAATATTTTAATTTTGGAAATAGAAATCACTTAAATAACAAAGAATTATAGTATTAATTTATAATTTTTTCTTTAATTTATAATTTTCAGGAAATTAATTCATATGTCATTACAGTTTTGTATTTTTTAATACGTAATTTAAAAATATATTATTTATTTTACGATTAATAATACAAAATTGTGAAAAATACAATTTTGTAATGTTAACAACTAAAATATTTTGATGTTCTTCTTCAAAAACACATGAAATTTGATAATTAAACATTATTTCCAATTTCTCTTTTTTCACATACTTATTACAAAATTTATACAGAAAGAAAATTAACGTATCGTTAATATCAAAATTTAATAAGAATCTGAATAGAATATGAAAAAATGAATAAGAAATGAAAAATACAGTCTATGTTTCTCATGCAAAAAAGTTGCTATTAGAACCCGAAAATGTCAACAATAATAAATGTTTTCACAGAGCATATTTAAAATAATTACTTAAAAATATTTTAAGATTGTAAAATAAAAAAATAAATAATAATAGTAATAAAGAGAATAAAAAAATAGTTTTTAACATTTTTGCTCTGTGATAATTTCACAATAAAGGATATTTCCGGGTTCCAATTATAACGTCTTTTTACATTTTTGTTAATATTTTCCCTTTTTATACATATACGTAAATTTTACTTATATGAAAGGACAGAAAATTGTCTTTATATTATTGGTAAAATATATTTGCCTATAAGATGAGGTGCTGTTGAATAGAAATTTGAATAGAAAAATGAAAAGAAATTGGCATAATATAATAAAAAAAATTCTCATAATCATTGAAATACATTTTATACCATTTTATACCTAATTTTAATATGTACAATTGGACGAGTATATTTAAATGTAAATATTTTTTTAATTGCTTTTGAAATAACATTCATCTTGTAAAAATATTAAATTACATTTTTACATGTACACACACACATTATATATATATATATATAGAAATTTCATTAATATAAAATTTTTTTTTTATTTTACTTTTGTATATTTTACATATATATTAAAAAAGTATAGATATTAAGGATAATAAAAAACAAACAAATAGAATTACATTTATAACATAGCATACAAATTAAATAGATGTAAAAGTTTTAAAAAAGATGTCACTCTTTTATATATATCATTTATAAATTTTCAATCAGCATGATATTATTTGTCATCATTTTCTGGTACTAAGAGATTAAGATTGGCATCTTTGATGATTGATCCTATATAAGTTTCTTCGTCTCCACGTATGGATAATGCGGTGATAGAAACATTTGTTTTTCTTTCATCCATCATTGCAGCTTTTATCCAATTTGAACTGCTGCATTTTATACAACTATGCGAAGGTATTCTATCTAAACTTACAGTTCTATTTCCACAATCTGCACATTTAAAGAATCTTTTTATTGCATCAATAGCACGCAATGGATGTTTTTGATCCTTACACATGTCAGAAGCAGAAAATGATATATATTTACAAACTAAACATTTAACAGCTTTACAAGGAATTTTATAAGTAGTTAACATTTTTTCTTCTAATTTTTCTTTCATTTCCAGCTTATTGAAATATTTATCTTTTTCTTGCTCATAAGATTTTTCAATAAGATCAGTATGAGTAGACTTAGTTTGCATCATTTCTTTAAATTTATCTGATAAGATATTTGGTTTTTTTATTTCTTGCTTTTCATCATTTTCTGTCTCTCTTGGTCGTTTTTTCCCCCTTTCTAACTTTTCTTCTTTATTCAAATGTACTTTATTTGGATCCTTAGGTTTGATTTTTCCATTTTCTTTAACCCAATTAACTGCATTTCTTTTAGCAATATTAATTTGTTTTTTAGTTATAGGTTCTGACAAATCTATTATTCCTCTATGACAACCAATACCTAAATGGGGATTTGAAGAAAGCATATTTAAATTTTTTTTTTCTATATTATTATTTTTGCAAGAATTTAAAGATGCTTGAGATAGTAGAGCAGCTTTCCAACCTCTTGATTTGTTTATTTGTTCAAAATTTTTTTTTAATTGTTGTTCTGATATTCCTACTTTTTCATTTTCATCTCTCATATTATTTAAATTTTTATTAATTAAATTATCATTTTTCTGACTTCCTGAAAGTAATGCTAACCGTTTAGCATCTTTTTCTTCTAATTTTTTGCTTTTCATTGCAACAACAGTATGAAATTCAGGCATATTGTTTAAAAATGGTTTCTGTTGTTGTCGTGTTTTTTTTTTTAACATATCTATTGAAAAATTCTGAGTGTTACTAAATGATTGTAACTCTGCTCTAAGAGAACATTTTTTATATTCTTTTTTCACATGATATAAACAAAATTCACAGCGACTAATATTTACAATAGAATTACATTGTTCTCCATTTTTTTTCTTTGATTTGCATTTTCCCATATCTTTAGATTTACCAAGAATCATGATCCTTTGAGGATTATCAATTGCTAATGTAGCTAAATCAAAATTGTCTTTAGATTCTAAAATATTTGGATTAAGAATACCTATCACAGTTCCAATAGTTGTTTTCCAAAGAGTTTTATGAGCATTACTAAACATAAAAAGACTTATAGTGTTTATATTTTCAGATAAATCACTTATTTTCCATATAGAATATGAAGTTCCTTTTTGAGAAGTTTTTGGTAAAGATTTATTTATTAATACTCCTGCAATTACCCAATCTTTCTCTATATTTTCAGAATTAAGATGATATTTTATTTTTGATACTGTAACTGCTATTTTATCAATCATACGTGCTTTTAATTCTGCTGAAGAAACAATTGGATTAATGATTCTCAAACCAAAAAATGGATCACTATAAATATCTTTAGAAATAACTGTGATATTATTATTCATATTTACATTTTTATTAATTTTTGTTGCATTAAAATCAAATGTTTTACTATTTGTTTTACATGATAATGGTTTATCTTCATTCTTTTTAATAGTTTCTTTCTTTAATAAAGACTTTATATCACGTCCATAACTAGAATATTTTTGTTTCTCAAAATAACGTCTATCTTCATCATCTGAAGAATCCAGTATATCATCATGTATTTCACTTTTCTTTTGAACATTAATAGATTCATTTTCATTATTTAATTTAGAAGTATTATCTAAAAAATTAAAGTTTAATTCTTTCAGAGTTTCTTTTGGAGGTGATTTATTATTTTCTTCTACTTCACTATTAGCTAGAAGATCATTTAAAATATCACCTATATCAGAATCACTATCATTATCCATTTTAAATATCTAAAATAAAATTATTTGTTATATCTCTATATGAATAAGATTATTTATCTATTTTATTATTATAAAAATATATTATTAACCTTTATTACTTACAATTTAAAAGAAAAAATATTTACTTCTAATGCAAAATAATAATTATAAAATGAACACTAAACAAAATTATTTTTTTAATATTATCAGTTTATTAGTTTAATAAATTCCACAAGCATCAAGCTATATAAGTATTAAATCACTTCTAGCCATTTTTCGCGCCATTTCTTAATAAGAGAACAAGTCAAGTTTTCATTTATACGATTGAAAATTTATTTTTTTTTATTTTAAGTAAATATGAATATAATTATTTTAAGTAAATATGAATATAAAATTTCTTCTAATTTGCCTAGTTAATATTATAAATAGGAAACATTAAATCCTTTTTAAATAAATGTAGTGAATTATTCAAAAACAATATACAGATAACGAATGGACAATATACAGATAACCAATAAAATTAAACATTCAATATTCGGTAATAAATAATATAATATCTGCAATTTTAAATATTGTTATATTGTGTAATTAAAATAAAAAAAGTAATTATTTCAAGGAATTTAATATTTCAATAAAAAAATTAATGACTCAATATTTTTATCAAAAAACTACGAATTTATTATTTAATAACAATGTTTGATTTTGCTTGAAGAAAATTATATCATCAATATACTTGAGTTGAAAATCAGATATAGGTTAATCTGAAATATTGAGGTTTATTTATATATATATTAATGATTTTTTAGTGAAGGTTCTTTTTAAATTAATTTATAACATGAAAATCATATAAAATATTTATTGTAGACATTACAATTAATTTGAAGGATATTAGAATATTTTTTATAAAAGTAAAAATAGTATTAAAATTCGTATAAATAATTTTTGAGAATCATATTTTTTATTCTTTTTTTTTTATATATTTCAAGATAATATATGATTTTTGAAATTATATATATTTGTATATTGAAAGAAATTATGATTTTTTATTATAATTTTATTAAACAAATTATTAAAAATTAAGACAATATGTATAAATTTATAGATTCGTATATTCGAAATCTTATTTTATTCAATAGTAAAATCATGAAAATAATGAAATAGAATGTTTTTTAAATCATTATGAAATATTATTTTAAATATATGTTTTTGAACATATGAATGATTATTGAGCGAGATAAATATAATGCATGGCATGCATGTACGTCTTAAATTTATGCTGCAGTAATCATATGCAAGTCATTTCATATTTTTTTACATAAGCTATCATATGCAAAAATAATTGTATTTAATTATTATTACTTTGTGTTTATATGATGGAATTAGACTAAACCATTTAACAGTAAATACGGTTATTCTGTATTGCAGCTGTAGAACCAACGATCGATTCAAGCAATAAGTTATCAATAAAACATTTTCTTCAATATATGTCTATCAAACTTACAGTATGCAAGCATATTACTTTCTACATTGTGACTACAGTTTCTTTCATAACGAGAATTTTTTATTTATTTTTTGTTATATTTTCTGTTAAAAAAATCATTTCTTTAATATATAATTTTCAAGAAATGTTCATCTCATATCTTTGTTTTTTAACGAACTATATTGATTATTTATAATTGAAATTCAATATAATTTCTTCTTTAAAATAAAGAAAATGAAATTAAACATTTATTTTATCAATATTAAAAATTTGCTTTAAAAAGAATTGTTTCTATTTAAAAAGTTTTATTTAAAATCATTATTGTTTTTTAAAATTAAAAAAATTAAAAATTGAAAGAAGAAAAAGAAATAGAAAAATCGAAAATAAGAATTAAAATATGTTTTATCGTTTTGAATCATTCATCTTTCCGAGAAACTAATGAGAAATTTTATCAAATTTAATTTGAAATAATTTGCGATACGAATACCAATAACATTCTTCACTTACTAATCTCAAGGAAAACAGTATATGACTTCCACCTGTCATAGGGAAAGCATATGGTTACAAAGTTTTTCGAATTGAACGGAACGCGCAGTGGTTCTCTCTCTTTCTCTTATTCCATTCGAGAGCTCAATATTACTTGCATTCTATGGAAAATACAGATTGTAAAAGAAGAAATATATATATATATTTCAGTTCAGTATTATCGTAATAATGTTTTATACAATCAGAAATTTATATTTCTACTAGAAATGAATAATAAAATTAAATATAAATTAAATATAAAATAAAAATATAAAATAAAATAAATATACATTATTTTTTCAATATTTAAAATTAAAAAACTAGTGCTATAATAATTTCTAAAAATAATATCTTCTTGAGATTAAACATATTTTTTATAAATATTCATATTTCTCTTAGATTTACTTTAGATATCATAAAATATTAATATTTCTAAATAAAATATTCAAAAAAGTAAGTATACATATTAAAAAATAAAAATCGTTTACATATATGAATAAACTTAATGCATAAAAAAGGAAATTTATGACTCGTAGGTATCAATTTACAGACGATCGATTAACCTCAGTGTATATTGTTGAACGCATCGCGGTGAAACGCGCGCTCCTCCATATAACGTACAACTAACCATAGCAACGTTATTATCAACACAATTTCTACGAAGTTACATTTTCGTAGAATTAAGGCGCGTAACAAAACTGGAGAATTCTTCATTTTTGTTTCCTTAACGAACTCGGTCATATCTCCATTTGATAGTACCAGAATTCACAATTTCCTCGCTCGGAGTCATCGCCAGTATCGTCAGAGGAAAAGGTAAAATAGGGAGGGCGAGTCCCCTCTAGGCGCGTGCCTTGCCCCTTGATCCCCTCATCATACCTCGTGCGTGACCCCCACCCCTGTATACCACCCACTCACCTACCCCGACCCAGTAGCCCGTGGGCCACCCCACCTCGCCCCACCCCAACACCGACAGCGATTCGACCCCGCGCGCGCACCCGTCTCAAGCGTCGTGTTCGTTCGCAGTCCGTCAGTCTATCGGCAACCTGCGTACCAGTCGTGTCGCAGTGCTTACGTAACAATATATTATTATTATTCTTACTTGCCTGACCGGTGTGTTGTTCATTTATAAATCGCGGTCTACGTTTTTTCGTTCGTCCCTCGCCGAGTTATTCGTCTTTCCTGCTCGGTCTCTCTAATTGGTTAATCATTATATAATTGTATACATATACAGAATCAATCAACGTAACATATATACATATCTTTCAATCTACTACATAAACGCAAAGGAATATAATACAAATACACATAAAAAACATACGACAAACGCACGCGCTGCGCTGGCGAAAAACGCGTTTTATGTCTAACGCGAATTGTCGTTACCTGCTTCTTGTCTGCATACATCGCCGCGCTGATACATCCGGATCCAGATCGTCGGTCAACGTTACCGTGCTCATCCATCTCCGTTCGCGTGATCGATTAATACGCGATTAATCAGTATCGTTTAATAAACGTGAATATAACGGAATACGTGAAGAGAGAGCGGATTATACCTCGGTGCTGCATGGGCTACTACCTGCCGGTAGATGAACAAGTGTCGTCGACGAATTACCACGGTAGAGCACGTTCTCTGGGTTTGGCCCTCCTCCACGGGCACGGTGTATCGATTGCTCTAAAATAGACGCGTGGGAACACCTGCAGGCTACATACACATTCTACCTACAACTCAGACCGTCTCGTTCTCTCTCTAGCCCTCTCTCTCTCTTACTTTCTCTCTGCATCGGTCTTTCCTGACGCCCTTGCAGCGCGTGACAGGTGCAACGAGAGTAACGGTAGCAGCACCGCGCTGTTATAGGGCTGGAGGTGGAGGAAGTAGTGACGGTGGAGGTGGAGGTGCAAGCGACGAAGAAGAAACATAACAGGAAGCGGAAGAAGCGAAACGACGAAAAGGAAGAGAGAGAGAGAGGGTAGAACAGAAGAAAGTAGAACCGACACACATACATACGTGCGCGCGCGCGTTTAGATACGGAAAGGAAAGGAGTAAAGGTGGAGAAGGAGGAAGGAGGCGAAACGCCTGGGTTTCTCGCGAGAAAAGGGTTATTTCCAGTGATACGTCCTGGAGGCGCCTGTCGTCTTCGCCGGTACAACCATAACGCCGCCCGCTTTAAAACGCCCGAGACGGGATACGGTGGACTCATCGCCGCCACCCGCTCGAACCGCAGCCCCCGGAAACCCCGGACCATCCAGCAAACTCGCTTGCATCATGGACGCACCGCTCTCACAGAGTATGGACTCCGTCAACACGGTGGCCACCGGTGAAGACGAGGTACGTATACTAACTACACTGTATATTGTATCGTTAACGATGCGCCTGTGCATTACGCACGATCCTCTCTCTCTTCATATGTAGTAAAGCCGCCGATCGCTTCCTCGTTTCACCCTTCTCCCTTTCTCTTCGTTCGTCGCGACAAGACCGCGCGTGTAAATGTTTCTATACATTTGCATTGAGTATCCAACTTCATACTTCCTTCCTTCCTTCCTTCCTTTCTTCCTTCCTTCTCATCACTTACCACGGTTACTTTCTGTCTTATTTCCACACTCGCCATATTGCTTATTTCTCTCGCGCCCTCTTTGTGTACCTCTCATTTCGTTTTCTCTTTCTTTCTCGTTTTCTTCCCTCTCCTTCTCTACCTCTTGCTCTTTCCAGCTCTTTCCTCTTCCGTCCATCGTATCCCTTCCTCTTCGTCCCTCTTTTCATAGTTTGCACGTCACGAGACGCGCAGGCGCATTATACGCGCAAACTTTACGTGTGTTTCATGTTGTGCTGTAGTGCATATACATATAGTTATATACATATATGCGACTGAGTTCCGCGTAAGCGTGTGTATAGAGAGCGGTAACGTTTGGAACGTGTATATGGTAGAGAGAAGGCGGGAATTCGATCGTGCACCACAATACACAGTGTGTGCCGCAGGTGACTCGTTTCCATCGTCCGCTCGATCGGACGGTAGGATGGCTGGTTAGGCTGGTTAGCAGGCCGGCTTCCTTCCTCACAGCCAAGCACCTGAGAGAGTGACGCGCCATGCCAGACCACGCTTGTTATTGATTTTTCCGCAACGCGAGAGCCGCGGAGAGCTAGCTATACGCTCTGTGTCACATCATATGCTGTTGGATTATGGTTTGTCACACGACATATGCATTATCAGAGGCTACTTACATACTGCAATCGCGCGAACCTAACTATTGGAATTATATAAATGATGCGTACACATATATTGAAAGTATTTCTGCGTGTTTTATTCAGTATATATATTAAATTTAATGGAGTGCGAGATCGTGTTCACTTGTGATGTACCGATCGATCAAATTCAACAATTATTGCAAGCCCCTGTCTCATGAACATTTCTCAATTCTTGATAAACTTTTACGAGATTTGTTGTTCTCTCTATCGCTGGATAGAGAAATTCTGGATTTTGTGATTTATTAAAGCTATTTGTGTATTTGCTCAAATACACAATTTCAAATATATATTTAGTATTTTTAAGTATTATCAATATTTGATAAATGCAATGATACGTGAAATTTACACAATATGTTAAAGTAATACATATATCAGTATATTTTTAATTAAACATCAGTGCTCCTTTGTAAGGTATCTTTTATATTCTATTCCATTTTAATTGATTTTACATCGTTCTAACGTTCACGTGACTCTTTTACCTCAGAGGGACAAAATGGAGTCGCTACTGACAATAGGATTGGATCAAAGACGATTTATTATTCACGATATAGAATTTCTCTTACTACTACCATCATTGTCGAAAAAACTTTACTTACTTCTCCGTAAACTTTTTATCTGTGTGTTATATTCAAGTACTTTACACACGATCGATCAAAAGAAAAAAATAAATACATTGAAGAAAAAATTAAAAACATTCAAAAATTCGTGTTCGCGAATCAGATTATTGTTAATCTCGTGAGGGATGTTGCACAATTATGTGAAATATAGCGATACTTATTTTCGTCCAAGAACAACATTCACAGAATTATTCCTGGCAGTTTGTTTTCTTGTGTTTTCAACACGTTGTCTCTGATAAATCAATAATTTTTTCGTCGCGTATCTTTCAATTCTTTCGCACTCTTTGGATTCGGTCACGTTTCGTATGATCGGACGATCCAATGGATCGCGATTTCAACGCGGAGAAAATCACGATTTTCTCGCTTGACCGGCTTTGGACGATTTGTCATTTAGATCAGGAAGAGTGATCTATCGAATAGAAACAAGCAACTCGAGAGCAGGAAACTTGATCATCGTTTTGCTCGATTTCCTTTTATGATTCTTTTCCGCGTATGTTCTTCCGCATTGTTAGCAAACAGGAACATCAATGCTCAATTAAAGGATTATCGATGAAGATCGATTTGTTCGTTGAATCGTTAGCATTTGAGAACGTGAAAGTTAATGGATGTTGTTAATGATCGACATTATCGTTTGTAATTATAGCCTGTTAAAAGATAATGATAATTTAACAGTATTTAATGATATTTTAATTCATTTTTTTAATAACATTCTTTGCCATAACTTCGTTGATAAATAATGAATATTACGAGATCAAAATTTTTTTGTAAAAATTTATTTTGAAAAATAATTAATGGAGAAATTATAGTAAAATTAAATTTTTTAATGTATGAAATGAATTTATAATACATTTTGAACGCAATTTCTGGATAGAAATAACAATTATATAAATACGAAATTAAACTTGCCTTTTGTATATTAAATTGTAAAAGCAGATTCAGATTTATTTTATTATTCTATGCTATAACAGCACTTAATATAGGCGTGATTAAATATCGCACAAATGCATTCTTTAGGACGAATGAAACAATATATATTAATATTCTTTTCAATTGTCCTTGATTTTTAATTTACGATTATTAACGTATAATTGAAAATTCAAAGAATTAAAAAAAGAATTAACTTTATCTCAATATCCCAACGATATCATTTTATGATAATAATCATTCATAAATTACATTAAAAATTCACTAAAAAATCTGTTCCATTCCATGTATGAAATCCGAGTTTTTCAACTCTGTACTTTCCATCTGTATTTACCACAATCAGTGAAATAAGACATCGCAAAAAAACTTGATAATCGTCCATAAATCACCAAAAAAATACCCGTTAAAAAAAGTCTTTTTTCCCCTTATATCAATTACGAGAAACATGATAAAATTCGAGTTCCTCAACTCGACAGTTCCGGTACTCAACCAACGGAATAAGCCGGTGAAGAGCGTATAATAAAAATTATATATACTCTGAATCTCGGGATCCTCGGGTTCGTAATTAAAATTTAGCCAGTGATCTTGAGATAAAAAGTGTGTACAGTTTTTTTTTTCCAGTTGGGAAGGGAGAAGTTGCGTGATTTTTACCCTCTGTTCGCCACTGTTGGTGGTTCCTCTTCGCGTTTGTCGCCATCGAGAAAAACCACGATGGGTAGGGGAAAAATTTAATTCTCGCTATGCAGTTGATAAAAAAGATATTTGTTGCGTGATGAGGCCACGCTTGGATGTAACGAGGAAACGTTTTTACATTTCCCACGACCGTTTCGCAGCGAAAATTCAACAAAATGGCCACTATTTTTGCATCCGTTTCTTTCATTCGCTATAGAACGAAAAAAACAATCAACGAATGCTTTTGAATTTACGTATCAAGCCTGTTAATTATTAATAGATGTTGGATAATATATTTTTTTTTACATAGATCATTTTTCGTGAAAACGTATAAATATATTTAAATTTATTTAAAAAACGTTCAAATCCTTCTTCGTTGCATTCTAAGCGTTTTATATGTTTCTTTTGTCGAAGTGACAAAAGGATGAATAGAAGTGCAGTGCACAGCAATAATTAGAGATTACCTTGATTTAATTGCGAGAGCAATGAAAAATCGATGAAAATGAAATATTCAGAAATAATGAAAAATTATTGAAAAAAAATGGATGTACAAAAAATATATTATAAAAAAAAAATAATTAAAATATTTATATACATTTCATTTAAATTTAACTCAAGATTCCAATATAGGTATTTGTTCTAAATTTTCTTCACTTTGTTGTATTTTTTCTTTTGTTTTAAATATAGAAAGATCGAATTTTACGCCCTTTCGAGATACGCTATTAGCTTGTTTAAGTTGGTTTTGTATATGTACTATAGGAAACTTTACAGCTTTTGTACAATCAAGTGAGGCTTGTTTAATCGTAACGAGATAAAGATACTTGCCTCGAATTTATTTTTACGAACATGGTTATATTTCGAGATTAATTTTTCGAAAAATGATATCTTATTCTTGTTAATATTATTTTAGAAATATAGATTAATTATTTTTATTACTTGTTATTGTAGATTATAGAATTTATATGTACATATATATATATTATTTTCATAATATCAGATTTTTATAGTCATAAGAAAGAAATCAAAAGAAATCATATTATTAAAAGAAATAAAATTGTATTTTGATTAAATTAATCAGTATATGAATACTACACTGTAAATTATACATTATACATTTTATAACTGCTTTATATAAATACATTTCAATAAAAATCAATATTAATTGAAAAAATTTAAAATCGATCAATTTTTCATTGGCCAATTAATATTAATTATCAAGATAATTGTAATATTGTGAAACATTTGATCTCTTGCACGTACAACAATTTACTCTGCGTCATAAATTTTCATCTATCAAACTCCATTCACCGTTCAAGAACAAAACTGCTAATTTTATCATTGATCCAAAACTATAATCAGCCCGTATTAGATCGCATTCGACGCTTAGAAATTATACATCTGATCAATTATCGAAACAAATTTGCCCGATATCATATTCTGAATCGAAGTGATAAATTACTTGAAGCGAATTAAACACCGGTTTAATACGAACATTCGATCACGTATGATAATTGGAAGGCGGAAGTGGCGATCTCCGGATATCAATTCGAGGATTTAAACCGCTTAACGAACCCTTGCACGGATCAATTTCAAAAATAAGTTCCACGCGGTGGAACTTCGGTTCGCGGTCAATTAGCCTCGAACGAGCTCATTGGAATTTTTAATGTTCTCCCCCGGAAGTCAGTGCGCGTCTGGGAAACACGTGGAACAAATTTTCGCGATGAAGAAACTGAAGTTCAAGAGTCAAGGTATTATTTTTAATACCGATCGTTCTGATGTTTGGTATGTTTGCACACCACGAATGATTTTCCATCGAAAGTACGATTTGAAATAATAATAGAAATTTTGCAATTAACATTGTGCATGGGAATT